AACCATTAAACAGCGAAAAATAATAGAACACGATAAATCGGCAAGTTTGAATAGACAAATTTTTTATTAGCTCAGTGTAAAAACACAATTCCGAAAAAGGATGTGTACCACCTGGTGGAAGATGATTCAAAGCTTTACAAACTAGCAAAAATGCATATATAGTATTTACTAAGCATAAGTCATGAAAATTTTTAATTAAGCTATTGTTAACTTAAACTGAAAAATAATTTTTGGACGTTTGTAGGATGGTCAGTGTGAATGTATCACCAACCATATCCTGAAATTCAAAGTTGAGAAATTATTGTACTTTGATAAATGAGCAGTTAGCCAACGAGACTATCTGAACCTATTCTACTCCTTGTACCCGTTTGTGAAGTTAAAGTGACAATACAATACGTAAAACATTTCTAATGATAATAAACAACACTGTAGATATTCAGGACAGTATTTCACATAGTCCCTTAAGTAATAATCATATGACAGATTTAAGATATCTTTAACTACTGTGTTTATCATATCATATGAGGATTTTCCCAAACAAAAAAACCCTTGAGTTGAGTGAATTGGGGATGATATAAAGACATTTGAAACATTTACCGTTAACCACCTGCTACCTGTACACAATTAAGTACGATACGTGAAAACGATTAAAGAGGAGTTTATATTAATGACGTTATTCCACGCTTTTTATATTATTAATTATTTAATCCGATCCGCTAACTTCAACGATGCATTTAAAAATAAAATGTGATAATCAGACACATTAAACTTCACAAATTAATCACACAGAATCCAACTTACTGAAAAATAGTACAAAAGTGTTTACAACAATATTTAGCATTTACAAACAAAAAGTATTTTCACGTCGAATAAAAAAAATAATTGAACTTACACGAAACTTCTATCAACTTTTAAAACACAAGAGAAGTAACAGCATGTAAATTACTAACAGAAAAAAAATTAAGAGTACATACAATTAGCATTCTTTAATTAGTAGAAAAAAAATAAGCCAAATTTTTAATACTTTCAAGTAATACAGTTCAAACGTACATAAAAATGATGGTAATATATATCGTCAATATACATTTTAATTGAGTAAGATCTAAGAGCAAATAATGTGAGAAGTATTACTACAATACGGTGTAATTCAGGTTTATAATATAGACTATGACAAATGTGTCCTGCAAAGTTCAAGAAGAAAAAAGATGAAGACAATATTTCAGAACATCTTTACACATCGTAGTTTTATTATCACACTAGTTTTTAACAGTCCGAATTGAAAAAAGCTATTATTGTGTTTACAGTCTTACTTGATAAGAAGCTCAATGAGTAAAACTATACCATATTGACTAAACTGGCCGATCATATAGATAACTTATGAACACTTCCTTTAACAATCTACAATGCTGCTCATTTCTGTATCCACATAAATGAAAATCTAAGACAGAAAAAAGTTCTTGTGCATTCTGATTCGCGTAATCTGAAAGCTAATTTTTGATTACCATCACCTTAACCAATTCACAATTCCTTTTTCCTATTTTTACTACAAATAAAGTGAACCTTTACTATATTATTTCAAAAATTTCATTGAAACGAATACATGTGTTCAGGTCATCAGTCGTTTGCACGTGACTGCTTTATATACTCCCTCTCTCCCTCTTAGATTTCCCATACATGCTAATCACTAGGATAAGATTTCCTAACTGTACTTTTAACTGTTACCAAGTCGATAACTAATATATGTATCCATATATACACGCGGTTATAAATCGGTTAGTCGGTTGCCATAGTTACCCGTTTTCTTTATGTTTCCATCTTATTTAGTTGCTAAAACTGATTGCTTTCATTTATTTAATTGCGAGTTCTGGTTTTCATTTTAGTCATTTATTTGCAATATTTATTTCTGTCTTGTGATGGGAGTAGGAAGTAGAAGAATAGAGAAATCACAATTAACATTATCTAAACGAAGACTTGGGAATAGTTAAGAGAATTGTAATATAATTGTCTAACTGGTCTGATACCTTGTTGTGTGTGCATATGATTGTTTAATTAATGAATTCATACATTCATTTGATAATACCATGAAAATAAGTCAAACTCAACTGTTATTATGATATGATGGAAAAGTTATGCGCGATTGCATTTATGGTCTTTTATTTTATTTTTAATAGAATTGCATGTAGACAAAGTGATAAAACTATTATTGTAGTAATACAATAGCTTATCTTTATCTCTGAAGTGGTTAGGACTGTAGAAGCTATAGATCACTGTAATACTTCACTTACTATAAATCCACAAATTCATCATGTTCTATTAAAGTATATGATGTAAAGTACTCATATTTAAGTCACATTTTCAATTTAGGAATCAACGATACTATCCAGCTACACTAGGCAAAATAAGTGTTCAGTGTATTCAGATCTGCGATTTATTGACTCGACTCACTAAACGATATCTTTTACATGAAGTGATTCCAACCCTAAATAATTTACTTGTGACTACAGCTACAGGCATTCAAGTTGTCAAAATCAAATCCTGCTTTTATCACTCATGAATATTATTAACTTGATGGCAAAATCTAGTTCCACAACTCCCTGTTTATCGTTTTTTAATTCGTACAGTCAAATACAATCCATGGTTTATAAACTTGCATAATAACAAATATACTGGATGTGACATGAACTTAAGTTTGACGTTAGTGTTAAAGGCAAAGTTGTAAATTTTTATGAAACACATACACATTTTAGTAGAGTTGAATTGTGCCTAACTAGAAGTGGAATGCAATACGCGAGTTTCATCATGTCTTTGGCTCGTCAGCTGGATGTAACTAAATTCCAGTGTTGACGCCCACACAGACTCGAACCCAATACATTTCGCTTCAAGGCCCAACGCGTTGTCCATTGAGGTATTGAATCCATGTAGCCACTGAATTTTTCAAAGAGTATGAACGTATTTTTAGCTTCACCAAATTCAATTAAAACTATATTGATATCAAGAAAATCAGATTCCTGAGACCAAGTCAATTGATTTTTCAAGGTAGCCAAAATCCCGGATCCGAAGGAAGCATTTGATAATTATTTTCTAAATACCCTAATAAAGCTCATTTGGAGGATTTTCCAAGCCCGCTAATGAGAAATTTGCTATCAAATAATAAATTTTAGAGAATACTTAACCTCAATCGAACAAAGAGGTATCAGAATGGTACAACGACGAACATGACTAGGTAGGTTGTTTATAGTACTTACCCTCATGGTTGTTTGTCGTTATTAAAATTTTCAATAATAAAATAACAAGAAAAACACTTGAAAAAGCAAATTGTTCAAATGAAATCTATTACCAACCAAGATATATGTTGTTGAAAAATGAAAGAGAATCTGTCATAGATACAACTCACCAGTTTAGTTTGCAGATTTTAAGTCAATGAATTATATGTTTGAGTCATGTAGAATACTTTGTATTTAAAAAACATACATAGTTCACACACATAATATAAATATATATCATGTTTCCATCTATCAAGCACAAGTTACTAACCACCAAAACGTAAGTGTTATTAAATGTAGCATGTAATTATCAAGAATTTGTAATACAGGGTCTCTCCTTAGTTGATCAAAATATCATAATTTTAGGTCACAGGTAGGTACTGCGATCAATAATCATATTGCCAAACCGAAAAATGTCAACCGCTTAAAATAAGTATTTTATATGATTACTTAGCAACTAGTGAAGACACTGGTAGTACAATCACTACTGAATATCGTCAAATAGGTGGTGTCAAAACAAATATGTTAAATAATGTGAGTAAATAATAATTAATAACTAAATACTGTTAGATATCACTTGGTGATTATATATATATATGGTTATAAATTAGTTATTCTGCTACCATAGTTACTCATATTCTTTATATTTACATTTTAGTTAGTTGCTGAAATTGGTTACTTATACTTTTTATTACGAATTTTGGTTTTCATTTCAGTCATCTCCATAAAAATGCTGAGAAACGATAAGTTTCTTTGAGATCGAGAAAATGAATACTATACTGACAAATATACTCACTTACTTACACCTGTTACTCCTCGTCGAGTAGCATAGGTCGCCCGACTGACAGATATAAACATACGTCTAACATTACACACTACTAGCTATCTAATACCCAGAGGACAGTATAAAATATGGTTATCAGAAGACAAATACAGTTCAGGGTCACTGTTTGATTAGCTCACTTTTTGAGGAACTATTTGTGTAGAGAGTGAAATTGACTATGGAACCTCGTAAATATAAAGTATAGCATTACATGATTTTTTGATCAAACCTATACGTAAATGTACACTTCCACTTCGCTTTTTTTTATTATCATCCTTACTAGAGTGTCCGACAGAAAAACCTTACCTTCTGACTGTTAGCATTTACAATGAGATAAAATGTTGTTACTAGTATTCGGTCGTGTGCATCACTGAATCAATCGCTTTCTTGATACCTTACATAAGACAGTCTCTTCAGTTTGTGATTTTACGGATCATATAATAGCTTTAATATAAACCACGGCAAAACAAATATGGCTAAGAATTTGCATATCATTTTTATGAATAAACAACGTCTACAACTGAATTCAATGGCTGTATTTATTGTTAGAGTCAACATAATCAAAACTCGTTACCTAAGTTGGTTTTCTTTAATTATTTACGCAAATAATAATAAAGTCAAAAAACCATTCGTGATGGGTTAAACAAGTGATCATTTGATGAGGTTAATAAAATCAAATGGATCTAATAAGATTATTGTTGTGAAAAATAAAGTTTCTTAAACAATCAAAAATGTGAATGAATGCATGTACGGATATTTTCAATTTCTATTTATCAATTAACATTACAACTGTGGATGATACACTTAGAATTATTGTCGCATGATCGACAAATTCAATCGGTCAACCAGGTATATAAACAAAATGAGACAAAGTACATCAATCTACCCGGTAATAATAAAAAAATATTTTTTTTCGGTAAAACATGTATACAATTTACAGATGTATGCGCTAAATTCCAGTCAATAATGTAACTAACTTCATTCAATTTATTAAAATAATAGTTAGTCAACACTTCAGAATATTCTACACTTTATAATAGTAGTAATGAATTGGATTCATTAACAGTGAGTGAAATACACAAATTGTTTAGTTAGTATCGTTAAAATGATACATGATTATCAATTTGCATTCATACATATGAAGTTTGAAAACGCATATACAGCCACTGCCAGGGAAATTTTACTCACTTTCTTCTCTCAGTGGGGGTGTTGTTTACGAAATCGGGAGGATAAGAAGCGCATATCCGGAGCTTACACTGGGTTAATGGGTATGAAAGGCTCACCTAGGGGAGTTGGAAAATTAAGATTCCAAACCGGAGGAAAACATGGGTTCCAGGATCCTGAGGGAACAAATGGCATATGAATATATTCTTGGTCACCGGTTACCATGAAACCGGATGTTCTAACGTTGCTCCACTGTCCTGAGAATTAAAACTCTATGTCAAAGGCTCAGGGAGTGGTCCCCTAAGAAAACCGCTTGTTTCGATTTGGGCAACCAAGTAGTATCCTACCCCTCATACAAATTTCCTGTGGTGCATACATAATTTGATCCTCCTTTGTATCAATGTATATGTGTTGAAATAAATAACTACGTAGTTGAAAATGACTTCTGGATAACCAGAATATGATGTTCCTAATGAATTGATTTTAAAAAACACTAAAGGATGCTACATATTTTTTATCTATTCATATACTCATCAGAAGACTCTACAAATGAAATTAACCAAGTTCCCCAAGATTTAATGCAGAGAAATTTAGCTTTCAAATTAATTAATCTTAGCTATACTAGGTAACATATTCAAATGTATTCGACAAAGAATTTACTTTTTTATTCAGATCAACGATGAAGAATATATAGACAACTTAATAGGAATCAAGAATTATCTAAAAATATCAGATAGTATCAAGAAACCTCAGGAAAAATGATAAGGTAATAGCCGTCAGATGAAGGTTTACAAGTTATGCTAATGAACACAGTTGATTGTAAAATGAAACTAATTTCACATGATTAAAATTTTAGATAAATGAAGATTTCATTGATTCTCCGGAAAAGCAAATCACTAATACACTCAAAAGACTTTTAAGGAAGAAGCTCATTGATAACGTAACTCACAATAATCAACGGCACCGACGGTTTCACCTTTATTACATATGCGGTCTACCAAAGATACATAAACATAATGTCTTTATTAGACTTATATTATCAATGATTACATCACCTTATATCAAGGTTGTACCCAGAATCGCACAAAGGTTGGAGCCGGTGTGTTAAAAATCAGCTACATATATCTTAATAGATTTGAATTTCTTGTCAGACTAAATGATGTAAACAACCCTGATAGCCTAATAGTCGTTTTTGTTTACCAAAGTGCCTCTGGTAGAGATTATAGAGATTATTTACCGACGTTTTGACATGGAACTTCTGCCAGTATATTATTTGAAACAACTGTTATTACATGGATGAGGGGCGTCCAGTTCCCGTTTAACAGTGCCACATACCGTCAGATTGTAGAAACTGAAGTTCAGTAAGTCCGGCCCTGGGATATAGTTTTGTGGGTAAGCTTGAAAGACCGAGCTTACGGAAGTAATTGATAAATCGATGTATTATTTGAAGTATTTAAAGGATAAGTTTATGGTAAGTAATAATCAACATGCAACCTACATATAACCTTAACTTTCTGGAAACGAATATTTAGCTTACTATGGGACACAAAAAGGATGACAAGATCCAATCTTTTAGTATCAAAATGAAACAGTTTAAAGTTTGATTTACTGACAAAGAGTGTATTATATTTGAACCGGAGTAGCTTTTGTTCAGTTAGTTACAAAACACACTGACTAAGACACTATTTTACAGAGAAGAAAAGATATTTACCAATACAAACTAGGATAGAAACTTATGAATGCTAAAAGGTCCCCGATAAACGAGAAGTATTCATAAAAGATTGTTAATAAATACAGTAAAACGGGGTATAAAAAGCTTAAAATAACTCCAGTCACCAGATAGCCCATTACTTGTTGACCTTGACTTTAAACGTGTTGATGCTCCAATTTCAACTAAGATATCCTGGACCCAAAATGATCGTTTTCTGTAAAACTACATACTCCCTAAAATAATCAGAGATTGACCAGTATGACTTTCATACTATTTCCAACTGTGTGTACGCATTTATGTGTATCTCACAAATAAGTTAGGCTGATAGATAAAAAAAGGACCTACCTTAATATACTCGCTTGAATGTTATGGAGTTTCAGGATCGCTGTTTCAAAATATTCATTCGACGCATAGCATCAAGTACGTACCGTATTATTTTTCCAGGTGATTATTAAAAAACTAATCTTTAATCTTGTTCAAGTTGCTGAACCCGTAACTCCTGAACGCATAAAACGTGTTTTCAAAAAGAAATGTTTATTGCCTTTGAAAAATACCTCTTGTTCCGTTACATCACAGTACTTTTTTCAACTCTTTCTTCTTTCGACTACATGATCTCTCAACCCTTTACTTGTTTATAACTATATTTTTTACTAAATGAGCTTAATTCATGTCATTCGTTACTGCTATTAACTTGTATTCAGTTATTTTACTGTGCAATCACTTAGTATTTTGTTAATATCATGTTTGATGTTGTAGTCTTCTTTTGAACAAGACATTTATTTGCAACTCATGATTCAACCTTTTATTTTATTTGCATTTTTGTTTTACTATGATGATTATATAGTCATATTAAGTTCTAACCAACTTCATTTATATAAGTATGTGAATAGTTGGTTTTATTCAAAGAGTAACCTGTAATACAGTACACAAAAGCTAGCGGAAACCCAGATATTTGGATTGAATCTTCCTCTAGCGCTCAGGTCAACAACGACAACTCAAGTCCAAATGTTGTGGTACGAAGAACTTGAGAGCGCTACACCGGAAACTTGATCACAAACTTATAAGATACAGAATAAAACAACAATGAGATTTTCCAGAGTCCTAGTCGGACATGTCTATCATCCGAGCTACATAAGGTGAGTACGTCGAAAGCGGTCGACTTGAACAGCACGTACAGCTTCGAAAATACCTGAGTAAAACATAGAAGTGAAAGGCAGGATTCGGAAAGTAACCATTTATTGACTCGTGTTTGGTAGGTAAAAACAAAATAAATTGCAGAGTTAAATATGGAAATTACACAAGAAAAAGCACAAAAGAAATGAACACATAGGAGAACAGGGATATATATTAGGTATTTATAGTATCATAGCTAACTTTTGTGAGCAGACGTTTATTAAGCAGGTCATTCATATTACTCATCGCAATTAGCTCTGCTTTGTGGTGTAGTAATGCAACCTGGGTAAGCAAGCCAAAGTAGGTTGTTTGGAGCAAAATTTATTTTACCGGCATTTCGTACGGTTTGATATCTATTACGCTAGTCAACGAGTGAAATTCGAGTGACAGGTATACACTTTGATATATTTTACATTTACATTCTTACAATATCTTTCGGAGATGGATATGACAGAGACTTCTTTTTGGACTGTCGAAAAACTATTTGCTATACAACCGTGGAAGATTTAATTATTCGTCTAGCTAGAAGAGCATCTGCATACTGAACAGAACTGAAAGAGGGTTGGTCTGATCAAGTGACTTCGTAATGAAAGTTTTCCTAAAGATCTCTGCTATATCACGTAGGTTGATATAACCAATGAACCATGAAACAAGAAATAATGGTTGAAGTTACAGAAAAAATAAGTTATTACTGTAAAGAAGCTCTGTCACAAACGTCCTAAAGATTACTTGGTCGATATGTTGCCAACTATTGCACTGACACTTAATTTTCCGGTATTAGGGATATTGATATTGATATTTTAAAAATTAGTATTATCTTGTATGGAACAAAGTTACAATGAATAAAAAATATTCCAGTAGTACAATATAAAAATAACAAATTTAAAATATCCAACTAATAGACGTTCATTGGATAAAGTAACTGTAAGCAATCAGGAAATATCAACAGTGACTTTTACTACATCCGTTTGCTATAAAATCAATGAAACTGGTGATTTACAAAGGAAAAAAACTAATCATTGATCAGTAGGTAGAAATATTATCCTCTAACGTTCACCTTATATATATATATATATATATATATATATATATATATATATAGAGAGAGAGAGAGAGAGAGAGGCTATGTTTACTTCTAAATGACTACTTAAAAAACATTTTAAATACTAATGAATTACAATCTGCAGTTGTTTAGACAAGAGTTTTTGATAATATCAGTTGACCTTTATACCATTACAATGATTATTTTTTTATATTCCATAGGAGCTGATGGTTATTAAAACGTTTATTATACAAATCTTATGTAATTTGTAATTCAAATTAATTTCAACTTAGAAGTTCAAGTAATTCTAGGTCACATGTACACGGCAATAAGACATACTTTTCACGTGAAAGCTAGTGGTATTACACACTGGAACATACCGAAGAACGTTGAGTTGAGTTTGAACCCGCAACTGAAGGTTTGAAAAGCACATGTTTTAACTATTACTCTAAAACTTGTATTAATTTGGGTTTTTGCTACTATTTATGGTTAACTATATGCGTGTATACATTTATTTTAAGTAACCCTAACAATGAACAGCTATATAGTAAAAATAAACTGTTTTAAGCAAATCTCACTATGAAATTAATCGATTTCAGCTTACAATAATAAATATCAGACATTTTCTAAGCGTACCAATCAGATTATCCTGAGTTTATCTTAACAGTTGTTTTGCTGAAAATGGTGCAGCCGGAAACATATATTCCATGAGGAAATCTACAGTACTTAAGGAACTAACATTAAATGTGTTGGGAAGTACTTACTAAGTGGTTAACTGTTGCCTTGAAACGAACATCATAACATACTATTTTCATGAACATCTCTCAACATATTTACTGAAATATTTGGGTTCATAGAAAACTTATTTGGTTATTTAGACTGTTCAAAGGCGATATGTTTATCACTCAGCTTTGTATCAATCATACAATACTCACATGATAGACATCTAAAACTTGGTTAGAACCTTAAACTTCATTAATGGTCAGAATTATACTTAAAGTTCGTCCGCACATTTGGTTATTAAGGATTGATATTATACGAAGTTTGACGATTAATTTATTACTGATTTAGAATGAATGGGATAATATCAAACTCTTGATTATGAAAACATGGACAATCTGCTAAAAGGAATAATGAAAATGGCGAATAACAACAGTAAAAATCATCTTTTGTCAGTGAGATGTAGATAAGATGAAAAAGTATATTTTTACAGAAAAACAGTACTAAGACAGTGATTCCATGAATTGAATGATAATACTTCATTAAAAGTGAACCAACTTAGGATTTTGACACCCAAGTCGTTATACATCTTTTCATCCTAGTCACAGTTCAAGTAAGCTACGATGGACCAGTCAGATATTTGCTGTGGCAGTTTCTGCATACAAGAATGGTTATGAGATTCAGTAGCAAAGAATAGGGCAGAATGCACTACTAATTTTTAACTATGAAATGTTTTATTGATTCACTATCCGGTCGCCCAAAGTGAAGGTGACCGAAAGTTGAACACCTTAGCCACTAAGCCAGCACGCCAGTGAAGCGTTAGTGATGTTTAGATTCTTCAACCTATAAGAACCCTGAAAATGTAGTGACTTTTCCGACTGTGTAAGATAATCGGGACTAGCATGATTTATCACTATAAAAAAAGAAAGTGTACGGGAAAACTAAACACATATTGTTTTTGGTTTTGGAGTTACGCGATAGGTTTCACAATAACATAAAATGATGAGTACTATGGATCAAAGACGTCAATTACTCCTAAAAAAATCCCCGAAAATATTTTAACAAAAATATATTAGTATTCGGCTATGGTGACACATTTTTTCTACTAAACATATATGCAAATATGTGTGGGAAAATAGGACAAACACATCAATATATTAGATTAAGAGGTGAGACTATAGTTTATGGACGACCTTTGAGTGATGCTATAATGACCTTGAGTATGTCTACCTACTTACTAGGACTAAATAAGGGTTATAAAACAGTTTGAAGAATAAGGATTATAATTTACTCTTGATGGTTAGGGTTAGGAATTAGATTTAAGGTTTTCATCACGAACTGACATCGGCTATAATGCCAAGACTCTATTCAGCCAAATGGGTGGATGAACTTCGCTCCAAAATCTAAGACCTGTTATCGTAAATCTGATTGGTTCGTCCATAAATTATAGTCTCGTCGATTAAGACTACTTGACAGCTTCCTTAAGGTATCATCCCATAGAAAACAAACTATATCGCACAAAGCGTTACAACAACTGAAGTTCATTTCAAACAGCTCCATACTTACCAATAAGAGGCGGTCCCAAAATATTGGCGACACCCTGACAAAAAAAACAGATTCCAAGACCATTGGTAAGGCGATGGAGTCCAACAAATTCTACCAACAGAACAGTGCACAGAGCATCATTAGCGGCCAATCCCATACCAAACACGCCTAAATTTGAATGAAAACGAAGCATACTGTTAACTGTATAGAAAGTGCAGACAGGCGTAAACATTGTAGAGTCAAATACAAGTGCTTGTCGATTCAAAATGCAGAAACACACCGGAGTACCCGAGGAAAGATACGCTAATGATTGTAATAATACTAATGACAGTGGGAAACTAGAGGGAAGGAAATTATTCAAAAGACGGATCCAACGTAAAGAAACCAAACTAATTTTAGGACTTGAAGAGAGATGAATCTGACCCATATCACTTAAAGCCTTCAATCATAAATTAAAATTACCTTGTGAATACCACTCACAATGTATGCATATCCAAGGATGACTCATACAAACAACCAATTACATCATAGCCAACACAATGGGTAGTAATAAGAGTAGCAGAGAAATGCACAGCATACTGCAAACCAATTCAGTTGACGAATATTCATAACTTTAACTGATTTATCAAACTTACTTAACTCTCTAAGTTCAATATGCACACCTCTTATTTTAAACTTCTACCAAACACGAACAATATTTCAAAAACGATTACGACCGAACATATACATCTAATCCATATTTGTATTGATTGACAGAAGCCTATGGTATTCAACACTAGGCAGAAAATGCAAACAACCCAAACGTATTCTAAAATGAAAATTGACAAGAACTTTCAGGTTCTGTTTTCATTTTAGGCAAAACATTTGCCTAATGAGACCCCTTTACCTTGTTTATAAACCATCTAGTTTGAAAACTACTGTTAATAAACCTATATTTTGAATACTACCGTTAGAATGGAAAGCCATACTGACAAGTGTAAGAGCCTAGTTCAAATATTCATCAAAATGAAATACTCGAAATTCAATATTAGGTCTATGAACACCTAAATGAAATCTGCAGGAGCTCTTGTACGATCAGTTAGTTATGTACAACCTGATCCATAAAACAAATCCAATTCAAGTAACTAAAAAGCTAGTCAACATACAGAATGAAAACAATTTCATATAATTTTCAAACTACTGCATTATATTCAGGGTTGATCCTTGAAGATATTTAATTTCACTTAGAGACGTTTACAAATAGTGAACGTATTAATTTCCTCAGTCATAAGTTAGAGCTGCTACTTACTTAATATAGTCGCCCCTTATACTATGAGCGTACGCTTTAGACACTGCTGGTATATCAAACAGATATATAATACAGTCTAAAAATAATGGTCTCTTACATTTTGAATATCTTGCATAAGGTAATATGATGACATAAACATTAGGACACTTGACAATACAATTATAATCGGCAACTCTAAGGAATCACTGCCACTCACAAATTAATGGACCCGAATGGAAGTCAACTAGAAAACGTTACTGGAGTGAATTAAAAATGTATGCCAATATCGTACAGTTACAAAACATATTCTACAGTATTTGGAGATAGACAAATACACTTATTTAGGCCAGTAAAGTTTTCTTTAGTTGCACCTTCGTTTGCTAACAAAGATTAACATCTACAGTAATTAAACGCACTCCAACAGTTAAGATGTGGCATTGGTGTTATTCAAAATGTCTTCAATAAATAATTGATACAGTTAGTAGATGAGTCAACGAACATATATTTGGTTAAATAGTTGGACCTGTTTTGTCTCTTTAAAACAATTACATCTGGTAGTGAGTGCTACACTACAGTTTAATATTAAGTGGAAACAATGGAAAACGAGAAAATACTTACTAGAATAAACTGCCATGGACATAAATGTAGTAAGTAACGGCATCAAACACGTTGACACACCACATGCAAGAATCATGAAGAAATATAGAGTCAGAGAATCGACGCCATCACGATCAGCCAAAAATCCAGCTAAAACCTCACCAACCATGTTAGCACCACCAAGAACAGAAAACAAAAGGGCTGCAAGTGTTTCACTAAGACCATAATTGATAGCACGCACACCCATAAAAAAATATGTAACATTGTACCAGAAGTAGAGTAAGAAATTTGAAACCATAAACAAAACGAATGTAGGTCTTCTAAACAGTCGCAGATCAAAAAGACGGTGAAGAATATCATGTTTGTCGGCACACATTTCTGTACAGAAGTTACAACAATATATTCCCCTATCCTGAAATTTTTCATCTCCATCCACTGACTTTAATCCTGACTTTTTATTCGCCAAACAACTACAATTGTACCTCAGCGAACATTGAGATGACACACCAGATTCACTAGAAGTGTCGGTTTTGTACACCCTTCTGAGATGATGAAGATCCGGCAGACTCACTGAACTCTGATGTGTAGAGCGATAATACTCAAGCAAACTAGATGAAGAACCTCGAAGAATGTTTTTCTGATTATAACTCTGCGAGGTATTATGTGTAAAATTGAGGGAACTGGTTTCACAGCAATCACCGCGCATATACGTCTGATTGTCTTGACAAAAATTATTTAAAACGCATGCTTCATCCTTCTTAGGACAAACAGTGTCTTCATGGTTATAATGAATAAAGTTCTTGAACGATTTAAGACTTCCGTTAGTATTGTAAATTTCACATTTATTATTTGCCTCATGGCTTTTATCTTGTACACCACAATCAAAATCCTCAACAGGAAATAAAGGTGAGAACGAAACTACATCGGACCTAACTTCCGGACATTGGAGCATGAAGCTACACACTTTCTTGTTCCCTGACACATTTCGAGATTTAAATGTGGATGCACCGTCTTTCCATACATCCTGATCCTGGGTTTGCAGCGCTTTCTTATTTAGTGGTTGTGATTTGGAGTGGATCGGGGGGATTTGGAGAATATCTTTAGATAAATTCGTCTTGTTTTCCAGAACTTTGAAACAACTAGTAGATGAAATCAACTTGTTATTGATTTCATTTGTTGAGTGTAAATAGCTCAATGTAACTCTGCGAGGAGCTAACATATGGTCACGTAGCAACTTTATACGACCAAGCACATCCTTATCCAAGTAGTCTGCACTTTCAAAAGGTGGTAAGCCCGACTCGCGAGCTAGGTGTTCCAACCAAGCAAGACGTTGTCTATGTCGTTTTTCGACGTCAGTTTCAACAGGACGCATCAGAGCACCACATACTATCATATTTAGGAAAAACCCAGACAGTATCATCATAGCACCTCGCCACGTATAAATATTCAGTAGCATGTCTACCATTGGAGCAAATACAAGCGCACCGACACCTGTGCCTGCTATGGACAATCCAGTGGCAGTAGCGCGTCTGTTATCAAAATACATAGAAACAACAACAAGAGCTGATGTGATGCACAAACTTGCACCCAGACCAGATAAAATGCCAAACGAAAAGACCAGCGATATTATAGAATTAGTGAAGGCGCCAGCAAAACATCCTAGACCGCTTATCAGCCCACCAACCATGCACGTCACTCGACATCCAAAGCGATTAAGCAGAAACGAAGACAAAGGGGCGGCGAGTGCAGGAATACCATACGAAAATGACCCGATCCACGAAGTAGCACTCATTGAATCTTGGAATTCCTCAACGAGAGATTCAATAAAAACGCCAAACGATACTATTACCCCGTCGGTTATCATGTGTACAAAAAAAGTGGCGATTACAACAACCCAACCCCAACCTCCATCTGGAGGTTCTGGCAAGGACAGTTGACTTGGAGACAATGGAAGTCTCACACTACTGGATTCATCACTTAAATTTGACACAGAGATAGAAGACATTGTTGTCGACGAGCTTGAATCACCGCTGAGAGATGACAAAAAGTAAGGCATATACCTTGCAAACGTAGGAGAAACGAAATTGGATGTTGTCATACTTTTCAATGATTTAGATGTTGGTATAGTGGGTTCCGAGAGAGTACGTGACGACTTAACCAAACCAAACCCCTTCCTTCCCGATTGAAACTTATTTAAGAGACGTGTATCGAAGTCCCTATTTTCACTGCATGGAACTATGCCGAAAGCCGCCGACGGAAGAGAAACTGCTAATTTTTCTAAGGAATCCATTTGATGGGAGGTTTTAAAGGTGTTCGTCTTTTCTTTATCCATTGACGAAAATGTTGGATCCTTATGTATATCAAATAAAATCTAATTAACCAAATATACCGAAACTTTAAACTGTATCAAATGAATATTGTTAGGTATGGGGGATAAAAATTCAATACAAGCTTGTAAAGAATATGTAAGTCATCCAAGCAGACTAGTAACATATGTGACTATCCTTAAAACAGGGTGCCAATTGTTCATAGGATAGACAAGCGTCAGCAATGCTTGCAGATGTTCGCATCAAAATTATTGTACCTACACAAGTATTTGAAATATCATACGGCCGGCACAGGAGCGCACACATCAAATTTGCATCTAATTCAATGAACAATATCTGTCTAGTGAGCTAGCTTAAATCAATAAATTTCATTGCCTCCGCTACCTGATGTAACGGTACAGTTATGGGTCTTCCCTACCATCCAGTATAAGAACTTAATCATTTAGCTTCATGAATCCTTGTAAATTTGATGGTGTATTTTGTCGAGTACGAATGAGTGCATTTCAGTCTTCAGTCTTCAGTAATAAGGATAAAAGATCTATCGATCTATATTAATCATTGAGATTTTTCACGCTGTGGAGTTCCAATATCATTTCGAATATGTCAACAGAAGGTACTGATATTACGTGTTCCGGTAGAGAATTCCAGTAACTCAATACTCAACACGAGAAACTTAAGTCTAGACGTAAAGGAATTGATCTCGTTTTTCGGACTTTCTTCGAATTTCCTTTCAACGGATCAGTCCAAGATGGAAATAAAAGATAAAACATGTTAGTGCCAAGGTCATCGTTCAGTATACGACAAGCCAATATTAGATCACCCCGTATTCTACGGTAAAGTAACAGAAGTAAGTTAAGGTGTCTCAGTCGGTCTTCATACGATAGTTCAGACAGAACTTTAACCATCTTAGTTCCCCGTTATTGGACTCTTTTCAGCATATCTGCTTCACACTTGAAACAACGACTCGCTGCTTGAATCCCATATTCCATATGTGGTCGCACGAAAATCGGGTATAATAATCTAAACATTTCGTCATCTAAATACTACAAAGAAAAAAGAATGGACCATAACATCTTGTAACCTTTCTCAGCAACAGCCTTTCAGTGACTGTTGGTTCTGAGATCATTGCCTAGTGTGACTCCTAGATCTTTCTTAGCACGAATCCACATATTGTGTAGTGTGTAGTGTCAGTTATTATGGCAAGCCCATATACCTTATTCTAACTTCCGGACATCCTATTTTATTCAATTTACTTGAGCCATATTTTGACCTTGTCAATTATTCGCTTATTAGCCTTGACTGTTTTCACATGAGCGTATATGTGTGTACACTTCATGTCCCATGACTCATTGTATGTCTGTAGCTTATTTTGTCTGCCTATAAATATTGAGTAATGTTCGGCTTGAATTGGAGTTGGCTTCCCAGCCATCTTCCATACATGTCAAAATTGCTCTGTTATGGCTCTCGCTCGCTTAGCATGCGAACGGGCCTTCATCAAGTGATACGAATCATCATAGTTATTTAGTTGCATCCCCATACGCTTGTTAAGATTTAATTCTAGTGGCCACCTGTCCATCCATGTCACCATCTTCTTTACTTCGATCTACGAAGATCATATCTACAGGAATATTCAGATCTTCTGCTGCTGCCCAATCTCCTCTTGCAAAGAGATTTGTCAAACATGATAGGCCTCTCTGAAAACCATGTTGTTCCCTGGATAAAAGATTATGCCCATCAACATAGTCTATAACAGATATCCGAAGGATTTTTTCCATCACTTTTACAACTGCGCTAGTCAAGCTAACGGGTCTATAGTTACTAAAGAAATCCCTACTCCCAGCCTTATACACCGGACATATTATCGCGTCTTTCCAGTCTCTTGGCAGTCTGGACTGATTACGAGGACAAGCAATCTAAAGGATCATAAAATTAAAATGTAGAGGAGTTGATAAAAGGCAAGGGTCAGAAAGGGTAGGTCAATCATTCACACAGGTAGTACAAACAGACAAGACTTTATGATAAGCAGGTAGATCAAAGTAAAAATGGCTGAAGTGAGTGGAAGTGAGCTATAATTAATAGTAATAATAATGATAGAGATGGTAATGGTATCAAAAGTAAAGCACGAGATACGCATCAGGTGCTGCTGCTTCAGAGGGAGTGTGGTACGGATGCTTTTATTGGCGTACTCAGGAGCGCATAGCATTAAAGATGGCACAAGTATTCGGAATTTGACATCGCCCTAACTAGTAACACTTTTTACAGTCGAAACGTGCCAAACAAGTGAAATCAGAAGTCGTAAGCAAAAAGACTCGAGGATTTATTTTATAGAACATCGACATATCGAGGAGTGACTTATCCAAACAGACTAGTGGTTGTAGGAGAAACAGACGACGGCGTGCTCTGGTGAACAGGTGTGGATATGTAGTGACTCACTTTTATCACGAGAACACTTGGTTTATTGAAAACAATTATTGTTAAAGCCAATTGTAACAGCGACTGTTTTAATGTGCTTTTGTTTGACTGTGCTAATGACAGCTATATTGTGCTTCCATTCTGATTCATACACTTTGATTGTGACTTCGCGCGAATTCGGTTACGTTCTGTAACCAAGGTTGTATCCTGGCACGATCTCGGTATCCTTTCGATACCACGAGATGGCCAGCGAATAGATCTCGATTTGGTCCATTAACCATCTTCTGATGCTTGACTTCTCGGGGATTTTATAGATTTATTTGGTTACGTTCAACCTTCGCCTTCTGATTTACTTGGCACGTATTTCTCTTTAGCGGTGTTCATAGTTAATCTCAACTCGACACCACGCTACAGATGCATGACCGATCAGTTTCACCTAAGTGAGCTCATTAAAACTAATGTGGTCAGCATCAAATGTCGAAGACTAACAGATCTATTGATTTTAGGAATTTATTTACCGCTACAGTATAATTTACTCCATTATTCGGTCGTCTCGTATTCAAAGCAGCAAGTACAACGCTCAGTGGTTTGTCCATAAATGTTATCACCCAGTTTGTTGAACAGCCACTACAGTCGCTTCAAGACGTTTATATCCCCTTCAAGTAGAGCAGGTGAAACAATGACGTGGGTCTCTAGTTATCCTAGATGTAAGTGTTGGGTAGCGTCAGAAAGAATTCAGATACCAGGATGTCCGTCTGTCTTCGAACGACTCTAAACGCTCCGTACTAACTGGCCTGATATCTCAGGTGGTTATTGCTTGTCTTCATGTTGTGATTATTAAAAGATGTGAATTGCGCGTTTTGAAGTTCTGTTCTAAGCGTCGCCCGAAGAGAAGGTCGTCGATGTTGGTCTGCTTTGTAGCTCGCAACAGAATCAGCTGGCATTTCTGGAGACTGAAGACCATGTAGTCCTTGTGTGTCCCTTGTTTCAGTAGTACTGTGTCTCTTTGGAGATTTTGTTCAATCGAATCATATCAGTGTGCTTGTAGAATCATGGTCTACTTCGTTATAAGCATTATTACAATAATAGACTTAATCTTAAAATTGTAGATATGTCATGATGTGACTGCCTATTATATATGATCTTACGTGTAAGTCACATCATTGTCTACACTGACTCATCGTTTCGTAACTATAAGCAATATGTTTGGCGTTTCTGAAGAACACATTTAGGCTGGAGATAGAACAATGTACTTAATATGAATTGAAGAGGCACGTCACACAAGAATGACCACGTTCGCATGGCTGAGCCGTGCAATTCGATTGGTTTTTAAGTGAACTTTTCTGCGCTCACAGTTCTTGACCTTTTCTACGTGTGAAATGTTGAATATCCATTTTCCTAGTTATCTCATGTTCAGCCTTGAAGATTGTATGGTTAGAACCAATAGCATTACACTACTCTCACACCAGAATCAACGCGACGTTGGTTCCATACCATATCGAGCGGGATTGTTGTGCACCAGAGGTTACTAAAATAATTATAACAATCTTTCGGGCGTTGATTGGCTGAAATTTAAATAAAAAAGGCGGCAGCAACTGATTGGAAAATACATGTAACAATTCCAAAATTTAATAGTTGAATTTACGAGTCGATTAAAACCAGACCACCATGGAAAAGCTGGGAGCACTAAACAGCCGTTTCGTCCTAGTATGTGACCCCTCAGCAATGCGCATCCACAATCCCTCTCGCGAAATTCTACCCCAGGACCTATCGGCCTCGCACGCGAACGCTAAACCATTAGATCACTGAGCTGGCATCCAACCGTGTTAATGTCTAACTTCAACCAATCCACAATATTAGGCCGTCGTCCACCATTGTCTTCGTGGAGTTACTATACCACAACAGACCTGGTTGAACTCCACTAGTCACCGCTTCTCACCAGAACTCCAGGAAATACCTCTTGGAGACAGTCACCAGTGAGCATATGAATTCGACTATTAAATAACTAATATATTCACAAAACACCTTTCTGATTATAATACCAAAATTTTTGATTTCATTATTAACACAAAAATGAAAATATGTGTGGTTGTTCAAGCTTTAGACAAAGCGGAGTTATAGTAATTGTAACGACCGAACTACCAGTATTCGGTTTGAACGCGGGACTGACGAACCAAAATGTATTCGAATGGGTCAGACTACGTTTTTGAGACACTCGTATTAAATTATATCAAAACACAAACTTCGTGCTCGATCTAAACGGTTCTATTTTAGGAAATAGAACAAATTATATCAGAAATAAAAAATGCCTCAAACGGTACAGCCTGTACTATACAGTCAGAAGTTTCTCTGACGCAAAGTAAAGCGCTAAATAATAAAAAACAGTTAATACTAAAGGGCACAATACCTGGGAATCAATAAAAATATTCCCAACAAGGTGGGATCAAATACCTATCTGCAGGGATTCCAGCAATCCTCCCAAGCAGACAGTCAAAAGGTTAACAGCCACAAACTGAATCACGCCATGACCTTGTGCTTAGTCAAACACGACCTTATTGTCAAAAGTCCGGCAACATGCAACAGAAAATTAGATAACAAAAGATAATTTTTTAATCAAAATAACCTAATGAATGTTCAGATGAAGAAGACTGAAGAACCAAAGGTGTGGTTTAACGAGATCTGAACAAAGGTTAAATTACACGACGGGGAGAAGAAACAAATAAATGACAGTACTGTCCAACAAAATAGCTGCAAAGGGATTTTCATCGTTCTCTTTCTGTTACAATAATGAAGAATTATTTCGTGTAGAGATATCTTAGCAAGACACTCTGATATGCGTAGCAAAAGCCGTTGGTTAATAGCTTAACTTGTAAGTAGTACAAGTATTTTATGCATAGAAACCTAAAAACAATCAGTTCTGTAACACTGCTAATTTTGGTATTATTTTTAGAATAAATTAGATGGTCAGTTAATATTCATTTGTATTAGTGGGCTAACTGAAGGAACAAAATTATTACCGTGAAGAGGAAGCATTTCAACTAGTGTTCCCGTAAATTTGTCAAGTTTCGCCATGACAGAAAAACAGGAATTGGGAGTGGAGTAGCCTTATACTTACGATCATGCTTGGAGGTACACCAAGCGCACAACCAAGAGTTTATCAATCTTGATCAATCCATATTGTGCTCAGTATGACTATCTACCACCTCGAGGTGTCTAGTTGTAGTCATCTACAGGAAGCCGACTGCTGACATCGAGTACAACAATCATATGCTTGAAGGATTAGTCCGCTCTACTCGTCTCGGATTCACTCATATCCTGATTTCAGGGCACTCCAGTCTTCCTAAGGTTAACATAGGTATATTGGAGGTGAAAACTCTAAGGAAGCTCGGTTCTCCAACCTCATTGAGGATCTGGGATTATTCGAAGATGTGAAGTCGGCTAATTGGGATTTCTTCTTGCATACGATCTTATGTGCGGCGGTGGCGCCGCTAATCTTCTGGCTGAACAGTACTCTCTGACATTTCAACCGATCCACATCAACTATACTGATGAAAGCTTCACCTTCAACTGCACAGGACTTTCCGAAGTGAACCCGTGTCTGACTTGGTGTTCCAGAAACTGCAGCACCTAAGAAAAGAGACTTGTCCTGATCTGGATATGGTTTATTCTGATGTACTGAGAGAAGAGGCTTCGATCCTAGCAACAGCGCCTAGCATGATGTTCTCACACTCGCTAAGCCGAGGCAAATTTCCGGAAATTTGGAAGCTGGCTCATATCACATCAATTTTCAAAGAAGGTCGACGCAGAAAACCTTCAAATTACTCTTATCTCTATACCTTCAAAAATCATGGAGTCCCTGATATGCAATGGTATACATGACTCTTTATTGTCCTTAAATTTATTCTCACCCCAACAGCATGGTCTTAGGAAAGGTTACTCGTGTATAACCAACCTGCTGACTGAGTTGGACAGATGGACAAGCATCCTTGATCTCTAGGGGAAAGTTGACGTCATTCACCTTGACTTTTCAAAAGCTTTTGATAGGGTCAAACATATATGTGTTATCAATAAGCTCAAACGATTAGACATTATGTCACCTTTAACCGATTGTCCCACTTCATATCTACAAAATCGACGTTCTGAGTCAGGACAAACTTCGATTTCTCTCAGGCTATGGAATTTAATAGTGGGGTCCCCCAGGGTTCGGCACTGGGACCTCCCCTTTTCTTGATCCTTATAAACGATCTTCCACAACAGGTGTCGTTAGACTTATTGCGATTTGCTGATGATATGTAGCACTTCAAATTGTAAGGTAGTCCATCTGAGACAAGTTGCGGACTACAGTTGCAACTTAACAAACTCCTGCCTCGAAGTATCCCGAGTCGAAAAATATTTAGGAGTCCTGGTACCCTAGGATTTGATGTCTTACGCTAACTGTGACAAAAATGCCTTTCGAGCAAACCTTGCACTGGTAATATTGAAGCGCTTTTTTGTCAGTTTGATGGGAGAATTTTTCACGTAATCTTCAATAGTTTTATTCGTCTCCATTTATAATACGGAAACAGTATTTCCTCCCTCACTCCAAAAGGACACGGACACTGGAGCGTGTCCGACGGTATGCCACGAAATCAGTTTGGGGACCCAAATTCACACCTTATGAAGAGCGCCTCCAATCACTAAATGTTTGCCCATTACAGTACAGGAGTTTTAGAGGTGACCTTCTAATGGCCTACAGCATCCGTAACACTTCTGGACATCCTCTTAAACACCTACTTAAGTTTAGCTCCAGCACAAAACGAAGGAGTAACACCCAAAAACTGGAGACAACACAGCAGAACGGACTGTAGACGCAACCTTTACTCCTTAAGAGTTGTCAAATGCTGGAATTCGCCACCAACTGAGCTAGTTCCAGCGACTTCCCAGGATTCGTTTAAGAGGAAGCCTAACCTATTCTTAAGGATTAAGAACAGTACCTTACTATGATTTACCAGTTTCATTGTCCTCTTTTATTGTTAATATACCTAGATTCCTGCCTGGAGGTATTAGTGATCCACTGCCACTAGACAGGGAAGCCGTTAAGTGAAAGCTTCCTCTATTCCGTCAACAACCATTTGAACAATGCCATACATCGTGAAGTAGGAAAAACACTACCCACTTCATTAATGTATCAAAATATAGTTTTTCAAATTTATTCAGAATTAATTTTAACTTTCGACAGCGCAACGCAGAATAGAAAGTAGCGCAAAAAGTGTTGTTGACCTCGTCATATAGATATTAGATATTGGGTTTTGCGGTAAGTTCGTTGAAACGAAAGAGAGGGGAATCTGAGCTGGCCTGACCCTGGGTTTTGCTGTACCAATGGCTATTTCGCATACTTTAGGGACTGACTCACTTGTTAGTCATGCCTTCAACAGAGATGGTACAGAACTCGCCCTTTCTGTCAATACTAGTGACGTTTACTTGTTGAGTGTTCCGGAATCACCCAGTGGAAGGTTCCAGGTTATCGATGTCCTACGGGAACATAGTGCTTTGGTTACAAGTATAGACTGGGCACCACAGACAAATAGGATTGTTTCATGTTCTGCTGATCGTAATGCCTACGTGTGGAATAAGCAGTCAGACAATAAATGGAAGCCAACACTGGTTTTGCTCATGGTACGTTGTATCTAACAAGTTCTGTATTTCCGTCAAATTTATTGTCAAGATCGATAGAGCTGCAGTGTGCGTAAAGTGGTCTCCATTAGAGGACCGTTTTGCTGTGGGTAGTGGTTCCAAACTTTTGGCAGTGTGTTGGTTTGACGAAGAAAGTGATTGGTGGATTGGCAAAAAGATTAAAAAGCCTATAAGATCTACCGTCACGTGTATTGATTGGCATCCAAATAATGTTCTTCTAGCTTGTGGGTCAAGCGACTTTCATGCGAGAATATTCTCAGCCTTCACAAGCTCTGGCCCTTCGGAATCAGTGTGGGGCAAACACACCCCTTTGGGTGCCGTGCTTTTTGACTATTCGGATGGGGAAGGTGAGTGGGTTTTTTATTATATTTGAAATATATGTACATTTTTTGGAGTACTTCCCAACTGATGTGGTTGCCTCATTTTAATGCGAAATGTTTGGAAAGTAAATGATAATGATGGAAACAAGTCATGGACCATTCATTCTGATGTTTACTGGTAAGTTTATCGTCATTATCTTTGATCTAATTTCAGTCACGGAGTCACATGTTATGTGGGACGTAAGTTCTCGTAGTATTACTCAAACAGATGACTTCGATGTTACAGGCAACAAAATAGACGGGACGTTATCTCGCGACAGTCAGGAGTATCATTTAATAATATGATGGTTATATGATTTTTTAGTCCTTGTGACAGCATGTGAAGACCGCAGTTGCTACCTTGACATATTGGTCGGGCTTGCCTATCTAAATGGCGCAACCAAGCTGTATTGGGACACGTTGTTTTAGGTCCTATCATGCCAAGCAAGCTGGTTTCAGAACAGCAAGACAAATCAACAAAGTCTGAGAGCGAAGTCGCACTGTTGGTGTTGATAGATGTGACAGTAGTAAGGTGATCCTCTCAAACAACCAGCATCTGCAGTAATGCTGCCTCACAAAGAAAGGAGGGGGTTAGCAGATTTTCATCGACGGATGTTGAGTAATTTGCATAGCTAGCTGTTAGTAAGTGCCTGTACTGTTTGATTATGGTTTCAGTCTCGGCTCCGTACAGTAGAACTGTCTTGACGTTCATATTGAAGATTCTGACTTTGATATTGGTTGGCAGTTGTTCTGAGTTCACTAAACTATTCAATTGTAGGAATATTGTACTTGCTTCACCAATCTATGCCTTTACATCTGCGTCAGATCCTCCTCGTTTATCGGTGATGTTGTCCAGATACGTATAACTTTCCGCCTGTTCCAGAACTTCGTGATTGTACTTTCCCCGTTTTGAATATTGAGGTCTACTGATGTAGGGGCTGCAGCTATATTGGCTGTTTTTACCTGCATTTGTTACTGTGTATGGGTTAGAAGAGATAAGTCATGTGCAAAGTCTAAATTATCTAGTTGTATCCAAGCTGTCGATTGTGTCATATGCTCCCCCTGAGATGTGGAGGTCTTCATGATTCGGTCAACCACCAAAAGAAAAAAGGTGAAGGTAAGCAGCCTTATCTGACAGTGGTCTTCACTTGAAGTGCATCTGTGAGCTGATCACCATGCACAACTATTCAATGCAGTCGGTCGTATGAATTCCATGTGATGATGATATTCTGCAGTACACCATAGTGTCGAGTAAAGTTCCATACTTTTTTCTATATGCGCTGTCAAACGTTCCTCATAGTTAGGGATGTTGGTGCATAATGAAGAGCTCGGTCAACAATGATCCATAGTGTTGCGTTTTGGTCGGTACACGATTAAATCTTATGGAATCTAGCCTACTGGTCTCAAAATCGGACGTCTTTGAATCTCTCATCCGGTTCAACAACACTGTTGAAAACCTCTCATTATATTGACAGTATTGTGATTCCCTTGTTGTCCTCACATTTCCTCAGATCTCCTATATGTGGTATCTTGTTGAGATATTCTCGAGTACACCATAGAGCCAAAGGTTTTTTCTATCCATCCTGTCAAATGCTTTTTCATAATCAAAGAAGTTGGTGCAGTGACTACTTCCATTCAGTTGATTGTTCGACAATGATCCGTAGTGTCGCGATGTGGACAGAACATGATCGAACCTTACGAAACTCAACATGTTGATTTTGAACTTAAACATCTACCAAATCTTTTACTCGGTTTAGTAACACTGTTGGAAACTTTGCTTGTCACTGAGAGTAGCGTGATACTTCTGTAGTTTGCGCACTTACCAAAATCTACTTTCGGTATATTGATGAGTTATCCCACTTCCCAGTCTGTTCGTACTTGTACCTCCGCCCAAATCGACCATATATTAGCCATTCGTCAGATTTTAGAGCACAGATATGCTTATCGGCATCCGACGATTATTGTTCTTGACCTAAAAGCAGCATTTGACTCTGCTGACCGAAAGGTTCTGTGGCAGTGTCTGTAATTCGAATGTACACCTCAGAAGTACATAAACCTTATGAAGGCTCTTTACTTGAACACTACTAGTCGAGCCAGAGCTTATGGCAAACTGTCATCTGATTTTGCAACCTCAAGTGATGTCAGGCAAGGCTGTCTACTATCTCCATTTTTGTTCAACTTTATCATAGACCTACTGCTGGAAATAACGCTCTCATCGACTGGATTTTCAGGAATCGATCTGCTACCAGGAGGTCCACTTATCGACCTAGAATACGCAGATGACATAGTAGTGTTTGGAGATGTTGATAAAATGCAGAGTCTTTTGATAGGGCACAGCAACAATACCAGGATGTTTGTGATGTGCTTCTCCCCCTCTAAATGCAAGCTGTTGCTTCAAGACTGGCCTGCGTCAACGCCTGAACTAAGGATAGGGAGTGAATTAATCGAACGTGTTGACAACTTCACTTATCTTGGAAGTCCGATCAACCTTGATAGGTTGGTGTCTGAGGAATTCTGTGCACGGATTCGAAAAGCTCGTTTGGCTTTTGCCAACTTACGTCAACTATGGCGAAGGCGAGATATCCGTCTATCAACTAAGGGACGAGTATACTGCGCGGCAGTTCGTTCTGTTCTACTTTACAGCTGCGAAACGTGGCCTTTAAGAGTAGAAGACACTCGTGAACTACTAGTATTTGACCACATATGTCTTAGAAGTATTGCTGGGATCACCGGGTAAGTAATAGTGAGGCTGGACGCAGTTTATTGGGGCGTGATGGTAAATCAGTTGATGAGGTTGTGAATCTTCATGGACTGAGATGGTTGGGCCACGTGTTGTGTATGCCTGGACACCGATTACCACGACGCGCAATAATGACTAGTGTTGAGGATGGTTGGAAGGAAGTTAGGAGCGGCTAGACCAAAACGTAGCATCAGTGCTTGACGTCAATAACTTCTAGTCTGAGTCATGTTAGTAGATGCGAACTACTCGTTTGGGGTCCGCTTGACTATCGTAACCAATGGTTGGAGACTCTGTGTGACATGGCTCAGAATCGATCACAATGGCGTTAGTGTATATACTCTCTGTCTTCCCTTGAACAATGAGATTAAAATTGCTCCATAGTTTTCTTTCTACCAACTAATTCTTTCTTCCTGTACTATAACCTTATATGCAATCTTTCTTTCATATATTACCACCATTGAATTAACTACTTTAATGTATTTGGTGTTCATCTTGTTGTGCTAATCAGGCATAGCAGCTTGGACCGATGCATATATGTGCCTGGTCCTATGTTGTAGCTGACTGACTGACTCCTCCTAAATGTTTATAGAGAAAACGTGAAACATCTTTGTAGTTACCATCGTATCTAACTGCAGTGTTTAGCTGGTGTGCTGTCTGCTCCATTGTTGATTTATCTGACGGCCGTGTAGATTTCTTCGATTACCGTTGAGTATGATCTATGGAGAGGTGTTCTGTGTGTGCTGCTTGGACATCCGTTGAGTTCATTGAGACTGGTCTATTCAACAGCTCTTCACATTGCTCCACTCACCTGTTTAGCTTTTCTTGAATCTCAGTGACTGCTTTGTTTTCTTTATCCTTGAATGGTCACTCTAGTTTACAATATTTTCATACTAGTTTATTCGTCGTATCATATAGTCGTCTCGTATTTCTTCCTACAACTTTTTCTGTTGTCATTGCTAGATCTTGCACGTATATCCGCTTGTCGGCTTCAAATGCTCCACGTCACTTTCTTGTTTGCTTCTATGCATTCGGCGTGTGCCTTGGTTTCATCTGTCCTTGTTCTTCCTTTTTAAAGATTGCCTTTGGTATCAATAGAGACCTATTGTTTGTGATGGTGCTTCTTGCGGCTCAGAACTTCATGACATTTTTAATGTTAGTGCTTCTTTAACCACTTCCCAGTTTTTCATGGTAGCTTTCTTTTCCTTATGTTGATTTTTGTAAGGCTTGGAGCCTGTTCCTGAGAACTGTCTTAAATTCGTTGAGTTTGTTACTATTTCAAAGAAAGAGTATGAAACTTTTGAAATTCTTTTCCGGTGGTTCTATAGCTTCAGTTTCATCTTGGCCGCATCTGCGTGGTGGTCTAAAGCTATCTCAGCTCCTCTCCTGGTTCTCACATCTTCCACTAATTTTCTGAATTTGTTATTGATACAAATATGGTCGACCTGCTTCTCTGTAGTGTGGCCCCTTGAGACCCATGTAGCTTTATGTATGCATTTATGGATTAGTTAGTGCCAGTCATAACCGTTTTGGTGAAGGCACATAAATTTGCAAATCTGTCACCGTTCTCGTTCCTTTCTCACAGTCTATGTCGTCCCATGATATCTTCATACGCGACTTTGTCCATTTCGACTTTGATGGTTAGGTCTCCCACCAGGATTGTCAGGTCTTTTTCTGAACACTACGATCGACTGTAGCCTCATAAAATTTATCTTTATCGTCTTCGTTGCTTTCATTGATGCGTGCTTAACTCTGGGTAACAGTCATTGTAATCCCTTCGTTCTTTGTTTTGAAGAATGCCTTGATGATTCTGGATCCATGAGATTCCTACCATATATGTGCTTTTCGTGCTTCCTGTTTGAGGGAATGATTATTTTCTTCATTTCCAAGGTACAACAGAACGTCTCCCGAATCTAATATTTTCTGTCCAACTTGTGTACAATGGGTTTTACTTATTCCGAACACCACCAGATTCAGTCTTCTCATCTTTGCAGCTATCTGACTTCTCCTCCCGATCTCCCCCATCATCCGGACATTCCATGTACCTATATTAATTGTTGCTCTGATTGTTTAAAGGGTCATTGGCTTTCACCATGAGGGGTCGTAACTCTTCTAAATGAAGTGTATTCAACTCCCAGGACACAGTGTAAATTTATTAAATGATTCCTTCTGGTCAGCGTTTTCTTATCAACGTTTTTACCGAATGGGGTTGCTAACCCCATGCCTAACCGTCACCCATCATCGGGGTTTG